AAAGGAGGCATTTCCAGTACTAAAGTTGTACTACAAGAGAGCACAATCCAGCCAGGAGCCGAAGCGAGGGATTTCCAGTACTAAAGTGGTACTACCAGAGAGCACAATCCAGCCAGGAGCCGAAACGAGGCATTTCCAGTACTAAAGTTGTACTACCAGAGAGCACAATCCAGCCAGGAGCCGAAACGAGGCATTTCCAGTACAAAACTTGTACTACAAGAGAGCAAAATCCAGCCAGGAACCGAAACGAGGCATTTCTAGTACTAAAGTTGTAGTACAAGAGAGCACAATCCAGCCAGGAGCCGAAACGAGGCATTTCCAGTACTAAAGTTGTAGTACAAGAGAGCACAATCCAGCCAGGAGCCGAAACGAGGCATTTCCAGTACTAAACTTGTACTACAAGAGAGCACAATCCAGCCAGGAGCCGAAACGAGGCATTTCCAGTACTAAAGTCGTACTACAAGAGAGCACAATCCAGCCAAGAGCCGAAAGGAGGTATTTCCAGTACTAAACTTGTACTACGAGAGAGCACAATCCAGCCAGGAGCCGAAACGAGGCATTTCCAGTACTAAAGTTGTACTACGAGAGAGCACCATCCAGCCAGGAGCCGAAACGAGGCATTTCCAGTACTAAAGTTGTACTACGACAGAGCACAATCCAGCCAGGAGCCGAAACTAGGCCTTTCCAGTACTAAAGTTGTACTACAAGAGAGCAAAATCCAGCCAGGAGCCGAAACGAGGCATTTCCAGTACTAAAGTTGTACTACGAGAGAGCACAATCCAGCCAGGAGCCGAAACGAGGCATTTCCAGTACTAAAGTGGTACTACAAGAGAGCACAATGCAGCCAGGAGCCGAAACGAGGCATTTCCAGTACTAAAGTGGTACTACGAGAGAGCACAATCCAGCCAGGAGCCGCAAGGAGGCATTTCCAGTACTAAACTTGTACTACGAGAGAGCACAATCCAGCCAGGAGCCGAAACGAGGCATTTCCAGTACTAAAGTCGTACTACAAGAGAGCACAATCCAGCCAGGAGCCGAAACGAGGCATTTCCGGTACTAAACTTGTACTACGAGAGAGCACAATCCAGCCAGGAGCCGAAAGGAGGCATTTCCAGTACTAAAGTTGTACTACAAGAGAGCACAATCCAGCCAGGAGCCGCAGCGAGGGATTTCCAGTACTAAAGTGGTACTACAAGAGAGCGCAATCCAGCCAGGAGCCGAAACGAGGCATTTCCAGTACTAAAGTTGTACTACCAAAGAGCACAATCCAGCCAGGAGCCGAAACGAGGCATTTCCAGTACTAAAGTTGTACTACCAGAGACCACAATCCAGCCAGGAGCCCAGATCCCACAAGAGCCCTCCAAGAGCCCTGGAGAGCCCTCATCAGAGGAGAGGAGAGGATTTTAGTGGCGGGAGACTCTTCATAATGGCGGGAGACTCGTCATAAGAGCGTGGACCCCTTTAGCGCGCGCCTGATCCCACAAGAGCCCTCCAAGAGCCCTGGAGAGCCCTCAGAGGAGAGGATTTTAGTGGCGGGAGACTCTTCAGAAGAGCGTGGACCCCTTTAGCGCGCGCCTGATCCCACAAGAGCTCTCCGAGAGATCTCTGGAGAGCCCTCAGAGGAGAGGATTTTAGTGGCGGGAGACTCTTCATAAGAGCGTGGACCCCTTTAGCGCGCGCCTGATCCCACAAGAGCCCTCCGAGAGCCGTCAGAGGAGAGGATTTTAGTCGCGGGAGACTCTTCATAAGAGCGTGGACCCCTTTAGCGCGCGCCTGATCCCACAAGAGCCCTCCAAGAGCCCTGGAGAGCCCTCAGAGGAGAGGATTTTAGTCGCGGGAGACTCTTCATAAGAGCGTGGACCCCTTTAGCGCGCGCCTGATCCCACAAGAGCCCTCCAAGAGCCCTGGAGAGCCCTCAGAGGAGAGGATTTTAGTGGCGGGAGACTCTTCATAAGAGCGTGGACCCCTTTAGCGCGCGCCTGATTCCAAGAGCCTCCGAGAGCCCTCGAAAGAGAGGATTTTAGTGGCGGAGACTCCATAAGAGCGTGGACCCCTTTAGCGCGCGCCTGATCCCACAAGAGCCCTCCAAGAGCCCTGGAGAGCCCTCAGAGGAGAGGATTTTAGTGGCGGGAGACTCTTCATAAGAGCGTGGACCCCTTTAGCGCGCGCCTGATCCCACAAGAGCCCTCCGAGAGCCCTGGAGAGCCCTCAGAGGAGAGGATTTTAGTGGCGGGAGACTCTTCATAAGAGCGTGGACCCCTTTAGCGCGCGCCTGATCCCACAAGAGCCCTCCGAGAGCCCTGGAGAGCCCTCAGAGGAGAGGATTTTAGTGGCGGGAGACTCTTCATAAGAGCGTGGACCCCTTTAGCGCGCGCCTGATCCCACACCACAAGAGCCCTCCGAGAGCCCTGGAGAGCCCTCAGAGGAGAGACTCTTCATAAGAGCGTGGACCCCTTTAGCGCGCGCCTGATCCCACAAGAGCGCTCCGAGAGCCCTGGAGAGCCCTCAGAGGAGAGGATTTTAGTGGCGGGAGACTCTTCATAAGAGCGTGGACCCCTTTAGCGCGCGCCTGATCCCACAAGAGCCCTCCAAGAGCCCTGGAGAGCCCTCGGAGGAGAGGATTTTAGTGGCGGGAGACTCTTCATAAGAGCGTGGACCCCTTTATCCCACAAGAGCCCTCCGAGAGCCCTGGAGAGCCCTCAGAGGAGAGGATTTTAGTGGCGGGAGGCTCTTCATAAGAGCGTGGACCCACAAGAGCCCTCCGAGAGCCCTGGAGAGCCCTCAGAGGAGAGGATTTTAGTGGCGGGAGACTCTTCATAAGAGCGTGGACCCCTTTAGCGCGCGCCTGATCCCACACCACAAGAGCCCTCCGAGAGCCCTGGAGAGCCCTCAGAGGAGAGACTCTTCATAAGAGCGTGGACCCCTTTAGCGCGCGCCTGATCCCACAAGAGCGCTCCGAGAGCCCTGGAGAGCCCTCAGAGGAGAGGATTTTAGTGGCGGGAGACTCTTCATAAGAGCGTGGACCCCTTTAGCGCGCGCCTGATCCCACAAGAGCCCTCCAAGAGCCCTGGAGAGCCCTTCAGAGGAGAGGATTTTAGTGGCGGGAGACTCGTCATAAGAGCGTGGACCCCTTTAGCGCGCGCCTGATCCCACAGAGCCTCCGAGAGCCCTCGGAGGAGAGGATTTTAGTGGCGGGAGACTCTTCATAAGAGCGTGGACCCCTTTATCCCACAAGAGCCCTCCGAGAGCCCTGGAGAGCCCTCAGAGGAGAGGATTTTAGTGGCGGGAGGCTCTTCATAAGAGCGTGGACCCACAAGAGCCCTCCGAGAGCCCTGGAGAGCCCTCAGAGGAGAGGATTTTAGTGGCGGGAGACTCTTCATAAGAGCGTGGACCCCTTTAGCGCGCGCCTGATCCCACAAGAGCCCTCCGAGAGCCCTGGAGAGCCCTCAGAGGAGAGGATTTTAGTGGCGGGAGTTTAGCGCGCGCCTGATCCCACAAGAGCCCTCCGAGAGCCCTGGAGAGCCCTCAGAGGAGAGGATTTTAGTGGCGGGAGACTCTTCATAAGAGCGTGGACCCCTTTAGCGCGCGCCTGATCCCACACCACAAGAGCCCTCCGAGAGCCCTGGAGAGCCCTCAGAGGAGAGACTCTTCATAAGAGCGTGGACCCCTTTAGCGCGCGCCTGATCCCACAAGAGCGCTCCGAGAGCCCTGGAGAGCCCTCAGAGGAGAGGATTTTAGTGGCGGGAGACTCTTCATAAGAGCGTGGACCCCTTTAGCGCGCGCCTGATCCCACAAGAGCCCTCCAAAGAGCCCTGGAGAGCCCTCAGAGGAGAGGATTTTAGTGGCGGGAGACTCTTCATAAGAGCGTGGACCCCTTTAGCGCGCGCCTGATCCCACAGGAGCCCTCCAAGAGCCTCCGAGAGCCCTCGGAGGAGAGAATTTCAGTCGAGGGAGACTCTTCCCGTGTGTGCGTGTGTGTCTCTCGTGTGCGTTGTTGTGCGTGTTGTGTCGTGTTGTGTGTGTGTGTGTGTGTTGTGCTGTGTGTGGTGTGTTGTGTTGTGTGTGTTGTGTTGTGTGTGTTGTGTTGTGTGTGTTGTGTTGTGTGTTGTGAGTCGTGTGTTGTGTGTGTTGTGCTGTGTGTGGTCTGTTGTGTTGTGCGTGTTGTGTCGCCTGTGGGGGGAGGGAAGGAGATGGGTGGCGCGGATGGGCGGTGCAGGCCAAAAACAAAAACCCCACAGTGATGTGGGGAACAACAACAACAACAACAACAACCACAACAACAACAACAACAACAACAACGACAACAACAACAGTAGCACCACCTGCAGCAGCAACGCTAACAACAACAAACTACGACGACAAGGGAATTACAACCACATCGATGCCACGACAAAGACCACGACCAGGACAACGAGGACGAGGACGAAGGCGAGGCCGAACTTCGCGGACGAGGAGCCACTTCGACCACGCACGTATAACGTTATATGCTATTTTCTGGGTGGGTAACGGAATGCAGGCTCGTGTTTCGCAGTGAAATATGTTTTTTACGTGTTTTGAGAGATTCGGGGCCGCAGTATGCTATTGTCTATAGAAATATACTGATATCCAATAATTTTCTGGCACCAAAAACTGAGGCCTATAGAGTGTTGTTTTCTCAATAAATGTATATATTGTCTAAAAAGTTAATATATATACCTACATACTTATGCACACAAATGTGTACAGCTGCAGATTTGTACAAGTTGATCTTCAACGTTCAGGAAGGAAACTAGACCCCGTGGCCTCGATGCCCAGTGGTACCGCCACCCTCTCGCAGGCATCTGTGAACCAAGCCTGTCGGTGCAAACGGGCAATCGAGGTTCATATTGAGACGGCTCTGCTTCTCGTTGATATGTGTTACCCATCCTGTTGTACGTGCAGGTGTTGCCTTTGCCATTGCCACTGCCACTGTTGTGGCTGTTGTTGGCTGGCGTGCGGTAGCAGTAGCAGTAGTCATAGTGCTAACAGTAGCAGTAGCAGTGGCAGTAGCTGCAGTAGTAGCTGCAGTGGCAGTGGCAGTGGCAGTAGTAGCAGTAGAGCAGTAGTAGTAGCAGTTGTAGCAGTAGCAGTCGTAGCAGTAGTAGCAGTAGCAGCACTAGTAGCAGTGTAGAAGTAGTAGCAGTAGTAGCAGTAGTAGCAGCAGTAGCAGTAGTAGCAGTAGTAGTAGTAGTAGTAGTAGTAGTAGTAGTAGTCGTGGTGGTGGTGGTGGTGGTGGTAGTAGTAGTAATAAGAATAACAATAACAGTTGTAGCAGCATACTTAGGAGTGGTAGGATTAGCAGGACTAGGAGAAGGAGCGGCAGCAGCAGCTGGAGCAGTACTAGCAGTAGTAGTAGTAGTAGTAGTAGTAGTAGTAGTAGTAGTAGTAGTAGTAGTAGTAGCAGCAGCAGCAGCCGCGGTAGTGGTGGTAGTAGTTCTGGTAGGATTACGTGCAGCAGCAACTATTTGGCCAATCCAGGCCTGGCGACGCTTGTTCTGCTCCCAACGGATGGAGCTCTCGGCGACCAGATCAGCGGCAGACCACTCTTCCGTTCCTGCCAGCTGCTTCTTCAGTTTCTCAAACTTGTCTGCCGTCCAGTTCGCCTTGGACAACTCCCGCTCGAACAGGCGGAGGGCATTGCGCGCTTCACTCTCAGTAACTCCCTTGCCGATGAAGCGTTTCTCCAGACGCTGCAGCCGTCCCAATGTCTTCAGGTTCTCCTCCCCGGCCTCACAAGTGTCTGGACGAATAGCACCTGTGTCCGCGGCCATGCGAAACAAGAGCTCCGAGATCTCTTCCAGCTTTTTGTCCCGCACCTCCTGCGTGACTTTCTTGGGCTGTGCCACCCGAACCTGGAGCACCCAGGTGTCGTTGCCAAAGGGCCTGCAAGAACGTGTGCAAGTCAGGGCCTGTCGCTATTTGTCAGAAAGCTTTGCAGCACTGCCTGCGGAGTGTAAAGGCCCAAAACTTCTCGCGCTTGCCACGGTACTGGTGAAAGGCCTCCGACGCTCAGTCTCCGCAGCTCCACTCTCCAGAAAGACATGCTTGGGCTCAGAGTCAGTGTTGAACCTGCTATGAGCCTCACAACTCACGACGCTTCATCGACTCGAATCTCCTGATTTTCTTTACTCCTTACACGACACGGCCTCCTTCTGCACCCAGCCCTGCGCTTCGTCCTTTCAAAGGCATCGGATGAAAAGAACCATAGAGATCGACAATGACAACACTATGTTGAAATTGCGATACGCGGGCTACATCAGATCGTGGGCTTCGCGGTTGATGGCTCGGGGCGCTGGTTTGAGGCATGTCTCTCAATCGCATAGGACATAGAAGCTTGACTCTTCACTCCATCATCCTACAGATAATGCTGAACTCCAAACCCAAGAACCTGAAGCGAATCCTAATCCCCAAATCGAATCAATAGCCCGATATTCTGGAGTCTGGGACGCCGTGGCGGAGTGTATTTCTCACGAAACCGCCCTCGCGTCCTATTCTGAAACCCTTGGCCTCCACCTTGCTGCTGCTGGGTCCTGACTCAGCGGCATCTTCACCTTCTGCAAAACTGCAGCAAACAAGAGATGGACTACACAAACAAGCTGTCTGCGGACAGGGCTGGGAGGCTCTCCAAAATTGCATTCTGCAAACCCGTCCTGCTGAATTCGACTCCTGATGCTTCTTTGAACGACGTCCCCACGTTTTTCTAGCTTGGCGCATGGTTTCCGAATGGGGCCACCCAGACGCCAGTTGCAACAGGCACGCACTCCTCTTGTCTTCTTCTACTAATCGTGCTGCTCCTCTGTCTTCTCGTCTCCGCCAATGCACTAGATTCCATTCCGCTTCCCTGCTGTTTTCCACTAACCAAACCCGATGAACCGTCTTTTTGGGCCAAGGGACTCTCTGACTCCTTCAGCGCTGCCACCTTCGTTTCGGCTGCTGGCGCTTCCCTGGCATGCACCGGTCGCATACACCAGGATCGACTCGACGGTCAAGTTTGAGGCTGTTTGCCGTCCCGCTACAGCGATATGACCCGAAGGCAGGTGAAAAAGCCCGCCTGTACCTAACAAGTCCGAGAGGCCCATGAAAAGAGACCGCGAACCGAGGCCCCCGCTTGGCACGAGTCAGATGCTCTCGGAGGACGAGTTTCCAGTCCTGAGGTCACGGCTTTATCGGGTGTGTTGGACTCACAGCGCGTCCCAGCATCTTGCGGGGTCGGACGGCGTGCGACGGATCTGCACATCTCAACCCGCTAAAGCCCCATGCCGAATGCAATCTGTGGGTTCTGGTGTGTTGGGCCTAAAGTGGCTGAAGGCTCAACTGCAGGCCCAGCCAGCGGACCGCCTTCAATGTCACCGAACTTCGAGCTGGGAACCCGGGAACATCTGGGAACCCGAAGCCCAAAATCTGAAGCCGAGTGCCTCGATCAGAGCTTTGGCCTTGGTGACGACTTGGACCTGGTCTGAAATTTTTGTCTACTTGAGACACGACATGCGAGAGCCTTGTAGCAGAATGCAAAACGCACCACAGCCTCATCATGGTGAAGATATCTCCGAACAAGGCGGCCGAGCTGAGTCTTTCGGAGCAGGTCCACGGAGACCTCCGTGCTTAAGAGACTTACAAATTGCGAGTCCAAAATGGGACGTGGAGGACACGGCCTCTGTAAGGAAAATCAAGCTCTGTACCGTCCAGCTCAAAGAATCAAGTGGTCTCTGTGGCATCTATGGTGCGAGCGGCTGTACTGCGAAGTGTTTCGTGGCAAAGTCAAAAGATCGCTTGCACGTATGAAGAACTGCAAGCACATGAACAAACCGCTCTGCATAGCTGTTGCCGAGACTGACGCAGCAATCTCACAACATGAAAACCTCGTAAGAAAGCAGAAGTGATGAAGCCCTCTTCCTCTTTTGAACCTTTTTGACTTTCCAACCGTCTCACAGGAGTACTAGGCTTCGGGCTTAGCCTGAACCTGATGCAACCACGTAGACAATCGAATTCAAAGGCTGGAACTAGTATGCTCGCCTAGCCCCTAAACTTGAAACCGTGGTAACACTGATCTAAACTCAGCCTCTAGGCCCCGCAGCCGCGCGAGGAGAGTTAGGGCCCGTGGCCCGTAAGCCACCCAAGAGGCCAGCTCCTGCTGGGTGTTTGGCATCTGCTTCAGATGTACTTTCAGCTCAGGTTTAAGATGAAGGCATGGAAGCCCTCCAATTCTGGACTTTGCAGTCTTAGTTCGGTTTCAGGGCTCGGGGCCTTGGGATAGCGATCAAGACCGATCACCGTTCTCATAGGCTCGAGACTTGTGGTTTACAAGGGTCTGAAGCCGGAAGACACGTAGCTCTGGAAGCATTACCGGTACTGTCTGGCCTGCAGGCATAAGGCCAAAGATGCCATCCCGAAGCTCTTCGTCTTCGGCACAGAACCTTTGAATGTAAACCTGTTGCCGCATGATGCATCGTGAGCTGTCCGTTGCAGGAAGGAGGGCTTGGTCACTTCCACGATGAGAGTACCACGCGGGAATGTGATTTGGCGCGCATGATATGGCTCGTCATATGTATGCTTGCATTATGCGTGGCACTGAACCGCTGCTCAAACCATGCGAGAGCTTTGCCAAGTGCATCCTCCTGCACAGCTTCCAGCTCGGGAGGCAGCTTTGGCTCCATTTGGCCTCGGCGCTCGGCACGCATCATCAAAGCCTTCTGTGAGTAAGAACCATGATCAGTGGGGTCTTTGTTGGCCACTGAACTTCGGCATCATTTGGGATGGCCCCAAATAGTGGAAGGATGGTCAGGTGGATAAGTTTCTTGTCAGGCAGAGGTCTTGAAATCATTAACTACTCCTGCTACCATTAGAACTAGGACTAGTACCAGTAGAATTAGTATTTGGCAGTTACGAGGACTCGCTCTCTTTTATACTACTAAGAGTTATTGCGTCTACGTACTTTTTTTTGGGGGGGGGGGGGGCATGCACTAATCAGCGTTTTGCATGAACGTCCAAGCTACACTGAGTTGCCGGAGCCACGACCACCTGAAGGCAGCTGAAGCCTAGAGGGCCTGGAGTTGCAACTGCTGTCTGGGCAACGGTCTCGCAGCTTTCCAAAGCCGCTTGCACAAGGTGGCAGTCCTAAGTAGCTGCAGCTATGCGGCACTTCAGGTCGAGGCCATCTCCATCTAACGGTTGGCTCAGCTTGGCTTGGACCAAACTGCAGTTGCGTGCAGCATCTTCGTAGCATGATCCATCCAATGTCAGCGATCGAAACTATGTTCGTGCTTGAGCTGTTACTTGCAACCTGAAGACTTCTTCCTCCATCTGCTTTGCTTTTGCGAAAACTGGATCTGCACAATTTTTGTGCAAACTGGAGTGATTCCTGCCAGGACGAGCCGGTTGAGGTGTGATGGCCAGCCGCCTCTTGCCTTCCATGCAAAGCAGGCTCCATCTAGAATTTAGAGAGGCTTGTCCGCCCGGCACAGGGCCATGCCGACCTCCAACAGAGGTAGAGCGTTTGTGGGCAGTCCGATTTCGGAAGTCCGCAGGAGCACTCCGAAGGTAGGGCCTTTGGCCGCAGATCCCGGTTGCGCCGTGGCCAAGGCCGCCAAGAGGGAAGGTCCTTGGGAGCTGGCATCCTCAGGATCGATGTCCACGGCCTGGCACCGAACACAGCGCCCCGCCGCCTCGAAGATCGTGTTTGCTAATTGCAGCGGCAAACCCACAGGCCAGGAAGCTTCCTCGTAGGGCTCCGCGAAGTCGACTTCCAGGTTCGCTCGGAAGCGATCTGCAGGCACTGGTAGGCCACAAAGCCGCCCGAACTCTCTCAGCGAGGCCGTGGACACAAGCAACAGCGTCTTCGGTGCATTTGCAAAGTCCGTCTTCTCGGCTGGTGCTGGTGCCTCCCCTGTGCCCCCTGCAGAAGCCTCGGCTGCCGAGGCCTCAGTGAGTCGCAGCTTCCGGATGCCAAGAAGCTGCTCGAACCAGGCCTCAGACGACACCGACCCGTCGGACTCGGACTGTCCGCTCTCCCCACACGGCTCGACACCTGCAGAGCACAAGAAGTCGGAGTCGCGCTTGCTCAGAGGTAGCTCCAGAGTCTTGGCATGGTACTTGGTGGACAGGACCAGCACGAAGGCCTTCTCCCCTGCCTTCCTCTTCAAAGACATCCTCACGGTCGTTAGCCGGGGTGCCTGCTTGGCGCTGACGGCTCGAAATCCACGGCCCTCTACCTTCAGGCACCAACGCCGGTCCAAAAAGAGGGACCCAGCATCCAAAGGCCAGCGCTCCACCCGAAGGGGACCACAGCCCTTTACGGGATAAACCTTCAGAGCCTTCACGGTTCCAACGGATCGAATCGCGGTTCCAGCCGCGGTTGACGACACGGGTGAGGCCAAGTCTGGCAGCTTGCAGCCGTCTTCTAAGTAGTCGGGTGGCATCATGTCCACGAACTCGGTAAGAAGTGATATCCAGCTGCACACGTCCGATAGTGTGGAGTACAGGCCAAAGGAAACACGAACCACTCCAGTTGGTCGACCATCCACCAAGCCCTTGTCGTCTCCACACACTTTACCGGATGCAAAGAAATGTCGGATGTCGGTGTCCTCCAGGTTTAAAAACTTCTGGCAACCCCCAGCATTGCAGTGGCAACCGGTGCGGATCACGATCTGCCTTGCCGCCGCCCTCTCACCGACAGTCGCATAAGGGACCGGTGATCCGTTAGCATAGTGCAAACTTAGTGCTAGCGTTGGCCCTTGAACCTCGCACCAGTTCTCCTCATCGTGCCGGCCGAAAATCGTGCAAACGTTGAGTCCGTTGCTGTGGCGAAGTCGCGCAGTGCGGAGATATGCCTCTCTACCGACGGCCATAGCATGCCGACACCGCACATGGTCGGGGCCAAGCGCCCTTACTGACTCAAGCTGTGCCGGGAGGGATGCAATGCCAAGGAAATGAGGTGTACCCCGCTCCAACCACTCCGTTAAATTAGGACGTGGGATCGCGAAGCCGGACAGAGCCGACAGAGACGAGACACAACCTCCTGCAAAGTAGAGAGGTCTTCCAGTACCCTGCCTCGTCGGACCTCCGGTGAGGTCTGCCTGGGGCGTGATCAGAGGCGCGGCCTCATGCCGAATGAGCAGTGCCCCAAGACCAGTCGGGTAGCCGAAGATCTTGTAGAAGGAAACCACTGTGAAATCTGCAGGGCATCTATTCAGATCCAGAGCCCCAGGAGAGCAGGCAAGCTTGGCAGCATCCAACAGCACTCTCCATCTAAGGCTTCCAGTCCTCAGCCGCTGCACGCAGGACAGGTCACTTCGAACCCCGCTGAAGTTGGACTCGCCCGGGAAGGCGATAAGGTTGTACAAGGACTTGGCGTCTTGAGGCGCAGAGTCTTCGAATCGAGCTGCCTGGGCTGCTAGCACGCCCACTTTCTTCTTGCATACAGAAAGCTAGACGTAGATGGCTCGATTCGGGACTACTGAAGGCTATCTGGCCTTGGGCCATCCATTCGGAGTTGATTCCCTTTTCCACTGCAAAACTTTCTCTATCAGCTGTCATGGTGTCTGCCCATGATCTACTGTACTTGGTACTCCTCAACATCTCCCATCACACAAACAAGACACCATAAATAATGTAACTGCTATAGGTCATAAGGGAAACCAACTGTGCATGCAAGCTGGCCGTGAGCTCTTCCTCAAGCTTGGGAAGGTCTTCGAGCACGAAGCTGCCATAGGAGCACTTGCCTTCCTTGGCGTACTGGCGAAGACCAACCACACCTGCAGAAGAAGACTCGAAGATATTCATGCGAGAACACTCGGGATGCTGTGCTGCTGCTCCTGATGCTGGTGGGGTCGGGCTGCTGGTCGTGGTGCCGGTCGCGGTGGTGCTGGTGCTCCTGATGCTGGTGCGGGTGGTGCTGGTGGTGCTATTAGTTTTGGTAGAAGTAATGGGCGCAGTAGTAGTCGTCGTCATAGCAGCAGCAGAAGTACCAGATTATTGCAGGCCTCAGGCTGGTCGATTGTGGAGGGAGCGTCGGATGAAGGAAGATGTCTTCAAAATGAAGCATATCTGGTATTGGTAATTAGTCATGTTGGAGTGATCCGGGTCTGCTTTCGAGCTGCTGGGGATCCCTGAACCCCCCTAAACAGCTCTAGACAACCCTAAATTACGACAGTACAACTGCTATACTACTGTACCACTACTGTACCGCTACTGTACCGGTAACTGTCTACTGTACTACCACTGTACCACTACTGCACTGCTGCACTACTGCTGTACTACTACTGCACTGGTACTAGTTCTTGTTCTTGTAGTAGTACTAGGACTAGTGTACGTGTACTGGTACTGGTACTGGTACTAGTACTAGTCCTAGTACCAGTAACCAGTACGAGCCTGGTACCAGACGAGTACGAATACGAGTACCAGTAAGAGCAGTACTGCTGCTACCACCACCACCACGACTACGACTACGACTACGACTACGACTACGACTACTACGACTACTACTACTACTACTACTACTACTACTACTACTACTTCTACTACTACTACTACTACTACAGTACTACTACTTCTTCTACTTCTTCTACTACTACTACTACTACTAATGTTACGGTTACTGCTAAAGACAGTACCACAGTCATGGACGTATAGAATCCTACCAACAGTCGCAGGAGTGGTGTTTGTGGGTGGTCGTGGGGGCAGTGGTCGATGATATCCTAGCCAGGGTATATCGTCGAAAACAGGTTAGCACCGTAGCATGTCGAGCACCACAGGCAACTTGGATTCGTAGCGCGATCAGCGTTTGCATTCCCAAAACAAGTACGTTTCACACCGGATCTCGAGAGCGAACCTAAATTCCAAACCAAGGCTTCCGACATGCTGTGCGTCTCAAGCCGATTATGGCAGCAAAGACTCTGGTGTGGCTCTCGTCCGCATAGAGGAAGACGCTACGTTGAGTCCATGGGAAATGCTCCCCCAAAGTTTGCAGGCCCTGGGTGACTCCGGAGGTAAACACCACCGAGTGAGTCGCCCTGCTGACGTTGAACATCTGCCTTCAGTCTCAGTTCGCTAATGTTCGCTAGCGTGACACCTGCCACGGATTCCCGGGGATTGCCGAAGGAGTTCACTAGTACTTGAGCTTTTACACTAAGATTTAGCATTGCAGATGTAGGCCTTCGACGTCCTACAACAGCCTGCAGACCACCGACCTTCAACAAGTTTGACCACATGTCAAGTATTTTGGAGAAGCTTCGACCCGAATCACCTGTACCCCCGAATGAATGTGGCACCAAACAAACACCGGAACCTCAAGCTGCTGTGTGCAGCCCAACTACAGAACCAGATCCCGACTCTTCTCCACCCGCCGCGCTGTCTCCGGTGAACTGTGAGGGTTGGCAAGGCAACTGTCCAACAACAGTGCCTCAGAATTGCCGCTGCGATTCATGCATGTCAGCTTCTGTTTGAGGTTCATTGCGGGTGAATTTGCCGCGGGCTTACCTCGCGTCTGCGAGGTTACATGTGCTGCACAGCGATGTCTCTCGCAGTGCAAATTCCCCTTTACACGTGAACGCTACCTGCCATCTCCAGGCAGTTGAGAGCCTCGACATCATGATACCTCTTCAGCAACAGGCCGACCTTGAAGGATCAATCGAAACCTGTCTACTTTGCGATTCGGGAGCTGTAGGACTCAGTAGAAGCCTCTCAGGATGCGTGGCTCCGAGCATCGAATCTAGCCGTGGCATCAAGAATTGAGTTCTTTTCGGAGTCCGAGACGTTGTGTGATGGTAAGTCATGTACCTAAGGGAAGCAACGAAAACACGAAACACCGACGAAATCCATCTCCGCCAAAACTGACGGTGTCGGCTGGAGCCTTCACACAAGCCATTAAACAAGAAAGAGCGACCCCACGGTAACTGGACGAAATTAAAGCGCAATCTTTGCAGAAGCCGAAATCCATCAGGGCCTAAGCCCTGGAGTCAGAAGCCCTGGAACTGTGCACCGTCAAGCACAGTTCACTGAAGCCTGAGTAGACCCGAAGTCCTGCACGCACTTCAATATCTGAAGGCCTACTTTAGGTAGGCCTTTGGAACCTGCGGTGCGAAATATGGGGGCTTCACATGCTGTAGGTCCACGACCCTACGCTTGGTGTCATAGAACTGAAAGAATAGCATACATCCTACTGCTCTGATGAAGATGACGATGTTGATGATGATGAAGAAGATGGTGCTGGTGCTGGTGCCGATGCTGATGCTGCTGATGATGATGGTTCTTATGACGATGATCATGACGATGATAATCTGTGGACGACGATGATGGTGACGTGACCATCAAGTTGAGAATATGCGGTTCAAGACTTGCACGTGGGCTTTGAGTGTTGGGAGCATTGTGGCACTCAAAGGCACCTGTGCCGACAAGAGTTGCGCCCGGCTGTATAACGCCGCCCCAGCATAGTCGAGGTAAGTTGCCTGGAATGATTGCACTTGAGCAACATTCATTTCAGAGTGACGAGCACACAACCATCAGTATACATATGTACATATGTCAAATATATAGACACACACCAAGAGCAAGATGCTCCGATCAGCGGTTTCGTTAGCGTCAACTCCATCATCGTCATCCCACCATCAGTATCTGCATCAACATCACAGTCACCAACATCACGATCCACACCACAGACAGCATAACCGTAGAGTTCTTTGTCTTCGTCACAAAAGCCACAACATCATCACCTTCTTCTCCACCATCGATACAGTAACTCGTGCTCATTGGTTCCTAGACAGTCTGTCGCGTTGCCATGCCCATGCCGCTCCCACCCGCCTCACGGCTCCCGCTGTGGTGCCGCGTGCATTCTGTGCCATCACATTGTTTCGCTCAGCTTGCCGAAATGCCATTCCATCGTTCTTTCGTCGCAATGCAGTGAAGGCTGCGCGGCTCTCACTGTGGTGCCATGCTCCCTTAGCTTGGGTTGCCGTGCCCATTTTTTACACTTCCTGCGTACAAGGTCTTCGGTAGTGTCGAGCGGTACTCACTTGCTGCCAGAGTTTTCGCAGAGTAGCCTTCCAGAGTTCTTGTGGTGCTCTTTGTGCGGTCGTAAGTGGTGCTTGTCAGTTCGGACTTCACCGGCAACAGACTGCAAAATGACCATATCCCGTCCTTCATCATCTTCCTCTATCTGACATTGTTGTCTTGTAATTCGACGTGGTGTCCATCGGCTTGTGGATCCTAGAGACAATAGCTTTGCTGTAGCCCCTCATGCTCAAACGATTCAAACCTGAATCATGATTTGTTGGATGTCCTGTTTTGGGTTCAAGGTCAGGGTATAATGATCGAAGCATGTCGGGCGCACACCCCGTTGCTCTAAGGAACATCGCCAGTGTCAGGTTGAATTCGAGACTACGCGGAGGAATTCACAGAATCACAAGGCAGACTCTTCAGAAATCGGCAATTCCAGGGTCCGGATGCCTCGCCCAAGTGAGCGAGCTCTAGCCTTTTGTACTCCTCAACTGCAGGCAGGTACCTACGGCGACTGCAACGAGATGATGGTTCAGGAAATTGTACTGGTCACCGTCGGTGCAGCAAGGATGAGAAAGAGGAGTAGAAGCAATTATGTAGTAGTAGTAGTAGTAGTAGTAGTAGTAGTAGTAGTAGTAGTAGTAGTAGTAGTCGTAGTAGTAGTAGCAGTAGCAGTAGCAGTAGCAGTAGCAGTAGCAGTAGCAGTAGCAGAAGCAGAAGCAGTAGCAGTAGCAGTAGCAGTCGTCGTCGTCGTAGTAGTAGTAGTAGCAGTAGCAGTAGCAGTAGCAGTAGCAGTAGCAGTAGCAGAAGCAGAAGCAGTAGCAGTAGCAGTAGCAGTCGTCGTCGTCGTCGTAGTAGTAGTAGTAGTAGACGCAGTAGCGGGGTAGCAGTAGCAGCCGTGGTAGTAGTAGTAGCAGTAGTAGTAGTAGTAGTAGTAGTAGTCGTAGTCGTAGTCGTAGTCGTAGTCGTAGTCGTAGTGGTAGTGGTAGTGGTAGTGGTAGTGGTAGTGGTAGTGGTAGTGGTAGTGGTAGTAGTAGTAGTAGTAGTAGTAGTAGTAGTAGTAGTAGTAGTAGTAGTAGTGGTAGTAGTGGTAGTAGCAGTGGTAGTAGTCGTGGTGGTGGTGGTGGTTGTTATTGTAGCAGCAGTAGCCGTCGTCGTCGTAGTCGTAGTAGTAGCAGTAGAGGTAGCGGCAGCGGGAGTGGGAGCAGGAGCAGTAGCAGGAGTAGCAGAAGTAGTAGTAGTAGTAGTAGTAGTAGTAGTAGTAGTAGTAGCAGTAGCAGCAGCAGCAGCAGGAGAAGTAGTAGTAGTAGTAGTAGTAGTAGTAGTAGTAGTTGTTGTTGCTGTCGTGTAGTTGTAGTTGCAGCAGCAGTAGTAATTTCAATACCTGCAATTCTAGCCATACTGCAATTTACTAGAAGCAGTAGATCGCTGCTACTGCTGCTGCTACTGCATCTACTGCTGCACTACTGCTGCTGCTGCTATTACCTTCAGGGATTTTTATACAATCGGAGCATGCAAGCCCGCAAAACCTCATTGAAGGGTGGGACAGCGGGTCGCTTGCCGCAGGCTTTCAACATCAAGCTGGATGGTGATTCGGAATCCTTTGCCCTCGAGTTCTTCATGGTGAGCCTTGAAGTCAGTCAGACCAATCCCCCAGACACAAACCCCGAGCCGTGGATGCTCGACCAAAGCCGAAGTTCCGAACTCAGCAACAATTTGGTTTCAAATCCGCAGTCGCCCTGACTGCACACTCGTGTCTCGTTGCGTTGGGCTGCAGATTCCAAGGTTCGGGCCCTTGGACTGGGACTTACAAATCGACTCGATGTTTGATACGAGTACAGGCAAAGGTGTTCACCGTCGCTGCCCCTAAGTAAAGCAATGACATTCGGGTTTTGAAGTCGGAATTCAGAAATGTGCCGGCTTGGGCAGCGGCCACTCGAGGTGCTCGTTGTCCTTATTGGCGTTGGCTAAAGTCCTTCGGAGATGAGAGCCTCACTGCTTGCAAGTACTCGCAAAGTCTCTCTCACCGGAGGTTCAGGGTTGCCTGGACGGAGCCGGAAGCCATTCATGGAAAGACCCCCGCCTCTGCCTCTCTCTCTCTCTCTCTCTCTCTCTCTCTCTCTCTCTCTCTCTCTCTCTCTATCTGTATATATATATATATATATATATATATACACATTTCGTATGACAAATGATGTCTACCAGAACTAATGCAGAGCAGCAAGAAGAGGGAATGAGTATGGTCAAGGTCGTGCGGCAAGAGTTACCGTAGTAGTACATAGAAGCAGCCTCCGCCGAACCAGCAAGAGCGCCAGCAACGGGTACGGTATTTTGATGGGGAAGCAGGGTACTAGGTACAGCAGCAGACAAAGGACAGTGACAGAAACTAGATGTGACGGCGGTTGCACTGGTACCAAGAGCATGATGATGACATACCAGGACAAAGAGAGGTGTGTGATGGTTCTCACCACCGTTGTCATCGTCACCCATCACCATCACCATCATCACAACCACCACCATGGACAGTCAGTTTAGTAACACCAACAGCTGTGGCGACAACATGTGTAGAATTACAAGGTGCAGCATGCGCGTTAGCATGGTAAGCATAGCATCAGCAACAGCACTAGGATCGAGATTTGCGGGATGTTGGATCTTTGCGATGCGCAACGTCAATATAAGGCAAAACAGCGCCTCAAACAGCTTACTTGCTCTTCGCGTGCTTTCACGTCACTCGCAGTTAGCAAAGAAAAACTACATGAGAGTTTGTAGAGCCAGCATCGAATGCCCCCCCTGCTCTTTTCTTGTCGGGCTACGGAAAGACCATGGCGAGCTCACGTAGCTCAGCGGGAAGGCCGGCACGGCAGGTGCGGGCTTCTCCGCTCTCTCTGCTCCCATGGCTGCAGGAGATCGCTCGGCACTTCGGAGGATCCGAAGCAGGAATGCTTGCAGGGCTTTTTCTGCATGGTTCAGGGCTGAGCCTCGAGCTTTGGAAGTGAAGCTTGAGGGTAAAGTTTCGCGGACTTCGCCGATTCATGAAGCGTGGGTCGCAGGGTTCAGCTAAGCGTAGTGGTGGAGCTTCAATGCGCCGATCTTGGACGTGGCAGTCATGGGGCCACGGCTTGAGCTTTTGTCTAATCTATCGCATAATGTGCACCCTCCTTAGGATCAGGTGAGCCGTGACCCTCTGAGACAAAACAAACCGATGAGCCATGAACGGTCGTCGCGTCGCACGTGCTTCTGGACCTGCCTGGACTGACGAAGGAGAAGACTCTCACACCCTGAACGGTCCACATGAACGTTGTGCGAAATTTTACACGAGCATGTAGCCGTTCTCGTACATTGTGTCTGAGACTTATTGGATTATTGGTGCAATCTTTGAGGCTGCGAGGGTTTTGGGCTTCCGGCTACAGATTTCATCTCCGTTCCTCGGCACCCCATGGATGCCTGACCTTCACACGAGATGATTCCTGCCTTTCTCTTGCCTCCAGCGCAACTGGTCAGGGGCTAAATTCGTGAAACTCTACCAGCTCACCGCCTGCCATGTGGGTTTAGACTGCATCCTGAGCACGCTTGCGCGAGGTCTTTGCATGTGATGCAGTGACAGGTTGTGTAAATTCGCAGTCGGTGGCCTCCAACGTCAGGCACAGTAGGTCCATTCCTGCAACGCTTACCGGCTGGTACTTTGGTGGGTTTTGCTGTTCCGTACTTATATGTCGAGTTATATGTCGGTCATGTGCAATTATAAATCATGCAAGGCCATTTATAAGTAGTGTATTGACATAGCAA